AAACCCTCTACAAATTACAAACAACATAATTTACAACCCTCTACAAATTACAAACAACATAATTTACAACCCTCTACAAATTACAAACAACATAATTTACAACCCTCTACAAATTACAAACAACATAATTTACAACCCTCTACAAATTACAAACAAGATAATTTACAACCCTCTACAAATTACAAACAACATAATTTACAACCCTCTACAAATTACAAACAAGATAATTTACAACCTTCTACAAATTACAAACAACATAATTTACAACCCTCTACAAATTACAAACAAGATAATTTACAACCCTCTACAAATTACAAACAACATAATTTACAACCCTCTACAAATTACAAACAAGATAATTTACAACCCTCTACAAATTACAAACAACATAATTTACAACCCTCTACAAATTACAAACAAGATAATTTACAACCCTCTACAAATTACAAACAACATAATTTACAACCCTCTACAAATTACAAACAAGATAATTTACAACCTTCTACAAATTACAAACAAGATAATTTACAACCCTCTACAAATTACAAACAACATAATTTACAACCCTCTACAAATTACAAACAAGATAATTTACAACCCTCTACAAATTACAAACAACATAATTTACAACCCTCTACAAATTACAAACAAGATAATTTACAACCTTCTACAAATTACAAACAAGATAATTTACAACCCTCTACAAATTACAAACAACATAATTTACAACCCTCTTCAAATGACAAACAACATAATTTACAAAAATATATTAAACCTTTCGTAATGAGATCAGGTCGACAGAAGACACTTTTATCTTTTTGAAGTACAGCTGTTGCTTTTGATTCTATTGTTACCAGGTTATCATAGGTTATACTGTCCTGTAAATAGAATCAATGATACATTGGACACTCACCACTGCCAATTTTGTGCTAGTGTTGAAACTTAACGATTTTAAAATTGGACTTCAAAGCTAAAAGACTTTAGAATAACAAAGCGCAACGGGACCGGGTGGGCTTTTATTAAGAATTATGTGTTAACTTATAGATACAGTAGTGACAAACCTCTTTAACTGTTAGTGGTAGGACAAATCTTCTAAAACTACTATCGGGGGTTACAGTAGACATACAGTTTCCTTTCAGATGGCTCAGATACAACTCTTTAATGGTTAATACGTTATCATATACGACTATATCTACAACTACGTGACCATCCTCTTCATAACAATTAACGAAATGAAATACGAACATCGGATCAGCTTCAAACTTTGTCTTTACCAGTTCTCCGTTCGATTTACGTATCAAATAAAATATGGCCTGAAATTGAAAGAAAGACAATGTTTACCATTTTTAGTAATAGACCTTATTCACGCGTCGGCCATATTGAATCCAGAACGAGGCTCATTACGCAAACCTTGAAAAGGTAAAGTGGTGTCACTGAATAAAATCGCCACCTTGACGTCTTTAAAGCCTCTTTCTCCAATCCCACCAATTCGAAACTAATTTACAATCTATTTTACATCATTGGAATTGATGCAGCTATTTAATGGCACTTTTACATGAATTTAACCTTCACACATTTCAGAGAAATGGCAGTTTTAAGCCCATTTTCTCGCTTTTAAAGTCTGTTGAACGAGTGTTTAATGACGTCAAATTGGCTATTCATTCATATGACGTCTCCGTTATGCGTTATGAACCTCACTTTCAGTGTCTCAAAAAACCGAGGCGTGAATGAGGTCTATTGGTTTAAGAGATAGCTTTCGAAACATTTGATGAACCAGCTCAATTTCCGCTATCTAGAATTAAAATCTGGCATACAGTTCTCCTACAACTCAACAAAAACCCACTTAGATTGAGAGTGATAGGGCGTCGGTGCTGACGGACACGGGGTTGTTTCTAAAATATGCCTGAGAAAGGGGGCAAAAATGAGAGATGTATCACCGGGGCGAGGCCCGAAGTTCCCCCCTCCCCTCCTTCCTCCCAAAAGCAAACGGATTTTAAATGGTCCGAGATGAAGAGAGCATTTAGATACTTGCTTACGTGTTGAAGAGGCGATGTAACGACATGAGCTGTTTCGGTTGAGTCAACCCTGCTGTAAATCTGGGTCATCCGGGAAATATCAATGCTATCAGATTCAAGCATGGACCAGCTGCTAGGCCATTTTCACAATGGTCTAGGTATTACGAACTTCGTCTTACACCTTGACTGCAATAGCCAATGTACCACAGAAGTTTGTAAATGCAGGAATTTAATTGGTTTGCACACTATTCATTACTGCAAATTGGAGTCAAGTCTTTGTGTCTAGGGCTCTGGTTGGCCGTATGCACTGACGAACAATCCAATCAAATCGCTGCCTTCCGTTATACAAGAATAGTGGCTATTGTAGTCAAGGTATAAGACAAAGCTTGCCACATAGCTTGACATTTTGAAGATGCTGCTAGACAGACTCGTAAAGAACCTCTCATCGTCGTAAACTCGGGTAGTAACTAGTTTGTGTAATAATTATAATAATAAAATACCTTTTCACCAGGACATGGCATTAAACAGTCAGCAGATGTTGAGTTGCCCAGCTTTTTCCTTATTAATTTAGGTAAACTGATACCAAATGGTGCCTCAAGTATAACAAAATAGTTCTCAGTTATACCAAAACTATGCTGATAACCAACCATTGTTTTCCATCTAGATGGTATTGTCGCCACTATTTCAGCTTTCTCATTTTCCAGATTTCCTGAAGATAAATTATAGTTTTATATCAAATACAGTTAGTATATTAATTTGTAACCACCTTCACAATGTTAAGATATTACGACCATCGTTTTATAACTTTCATGTATCGTGTAAACCAGTAATAGCAAATACAGCCAATCAGAGACCTCGACCAAAAGTCTGTAAATACTATGCCATAATATTTGCAGTCTTTCTGTCGTGCGGTCCAATGAAAGACATAACCGAATTTTTGCTTTATAGAAAAAAAAACCCTATAGTTAAAGCCAGCCCTGGACACCTCATTCCTAACCCACCTAGGGAACGCCTCAGAAACGTATGGGGAATAATTCTAAATATGTTTAGGTGTCATTTTATTGGTCAATTTTATGACTTTGAACAGATGTTACCGAAGGGCTAGGATCAAAGACCTACAATATAAATTATCTGATCATCATCCAATAAGTCAGACACGTCAAACCAAGATACAATCAACATAATTTTAATTTGATTAGTTTTTTGTATGATAAATAAAATGATACAACACTGGACTTTTGAACTGTGAACAATCATTTTTCCTCTTGAAAATACGATTATAAAAATAGTGACTGAACCACCACCAGACTAAAGGCATTATATTCCCTTTTTTTTAATTTTATTCATTTTTCTTCGAATCTTTTAAAACTATAAATCATAATTATGGTCAGAAAAGTTTGTACCGGTGATGCTTACTCTTCTAAACACCTGATACCACTCCTCAATATAATATACTTCCTCAGTTATGATTTATATACATCCTCATATGAAAAGCTTCAACCACTGTATTGCCTTACTGTTATTTTGGACAGATCGGATCGTTAGTACTTGTGATTTTGTATTCTTACCATTTGGTTGAGTTGGTATTCTGATGATGTTATAGGCTCTACTTGGCTTCATACAGGACCCTAGATTATAGTTGTAACCATCATCACTGGTGTGTGGATGAGCAGTTGCCAAATGAACAGCAACATAATTAGACATCGTTACCTGGAATGGCAGTGGTATTTTCAAAAATAAATAGGATAAAGGTGGAGTGAAGGGACTAGCCCTAATACACATAAAATACAATTTTGAAATTTTCAAGTATAATTTACTGTTATTGTTCCACAGTTCCATAAATGTAGGTCTAATTCGTCACTGTTTGTATTTGAGGTTTGCGGCCGCCTAGTCTCCCTCAAACTGAGAATGGTGTAAAATAACTAGCTTTTGTATATTTTTGCTTTTGATAAGAAAGTTGGTGGGGACAGTGTCATTAACATAGTCCTAACCACCGTTTTATTGGAATGACGCAAAGAAAGGGAAAAAGAAGCCCCGAAACACATACAAAGCTAGAAAACCCCTTTAGAACCATCGTAAGAAAAAAAATTCTCCCCCTTAAACAATTCTGACAACCATCAAAGACCTAGAATAATTTATCTGATCATCATCCAATAAGTCAGACAGAAAATACACACGTCAAACCAAGATAAAACCAACATCATTTTTGTATGATAAATAAAATGATACAACATTTTTTTAAAACACTGGACTTTTGAACTGTGAACAATCGCTCAGATAACCGTAAGAAATGATCCACCACAGTTCAAAACCAGTCTTCCACCACGAAACCTATCTATAGTGAAATACATGTATCGTAGTTATTCCAATGAGACAATACCAGGCGCCAGAAAGCCTCTATCCACAAATTGATTGCCCCTGAAAAAATTCTGACAGCCGACAAATTCCATTATAGTAACCAAAATAATGCCATATACCATTGTCCCTCCGGATATATTACTTGCCCCTTCCCCCGATATGGCTACGGGCCTGCATGTTTTAATGTTACAATGTCTACGAACCTTTTTGTTTTGTTGAAGTGTATTTGGATCTACTCGATACATTTGAGGAGTTTCTGTCAAGGCCCATAACTCATCTCCTCTTTCAATGACACTGACATTCGTGTTGTCGTTTGGTTCTTTCTTTTTAAATATAGAGAAAAATCTAAAAGTAATGAAAGTAGTGATAAATTTACACATTGACGGCGTCAGCAGGGCTATCAGTGATATTCGCATACATGACTCAGATTTTATCAATCCACATACCAGTGGTATATTTAAGAGTGGGTCATTGTCTTGTAGAAGTTCTTATTTTAAAGCGAAAATAAAATCCTCAAATTCAAACTGTCAAATAAATATTGTACCTAGAAAATATACTTTGACATGGATCAGGAACACCTTTAGTACTAAACTGATCGCAGACCAGTCGCTGGGCTTTAAGCGTTTTGTTCCACGCATCTGTATCTAGTACTTTACTCTGAAACATTACTCTGCCATCTTGAATCTTAAACTTTAACAAGACACTCATACCATCAAACAAGTGGTTAATTTTATCGCCGCCATATTGAAATACCCCGGATCCATTTCTGTAAAGTGATCCATCGATCCAGTCCGGCACCGTCCCTAAAAAATATTGGAAATACATACTTATAAATTTTCTTATATTTCCCTACCTCTTAATAGTTTTACTGCTTTTGTAATTGCAGTTTTGTTGTTAGTAGTTTCTTTTGTATTTTATGTCGTGTTCCTTTAAGGACAAAATTTAAAAAAAGGCCATGCCTAATTTGCACTCTTATAGATTTATTCTTATCATTATTGATATTATTTACTTTAAAGGGGATTGGTTTGGTTTGGGGATTGGTTTGAGTCTATGTTGTGCTTTAATAGTCTTAAGAAGTACTAAAACGCACGAAAATCGCATAATCCCTTCAAATATACCTCAAACTTGAATTCTAGTCTATTCCTATATATGTATTTTGTATATATGACAGTCTCACTAAAATTCGAGTCGAATTTTTAACTTTAAAACGTGAATAATTATGGATGCACATGGATTTGAAGGCTCAAATTTCGACGATGTGCTGTGAACACTATTACTGATTAGGTAAGCTAAAGAAAATTCCTGTTTCTGAAACTAGGGTATGATTGGTGGAACGGATAGTGAAGGTGCTTCTTTAAGATTCGAAGTTTTTAGAATGAAAATGTTAAAAAGTATACTACCTCTTAGAATAAGCATAACATTTAATAACTTGGTCAACAATTAGGGTTTATATTCATCAGTTGGACTTACCAGGTGCCATGAGTAAAGAACGCAATCTCTATATTTGATGATATATTCATTAAACTAAGTATTATAGAAACACACTTCTAAGCATGTTTCAAAACTACTACGTTTGAATGCCTTAACTTACCTGTAACTTCTAGTTTGATCTCCTCTTTGACTTCAGATTCAGGGTTGAACTTCATCCATATTGGTGAATAATTTTCGTTTTCTGCCATTTTATACCTATAAATCTAAAAGTAAAATTCGTTTTTTATGATTTTTGAGGTGTGTAAGAAAACCACCGTGCGGATTCTGTGTATTATAACAGTTGAGTTTCTGTCGTATTTATTGGTTTTACCGCTAAGCTTTTATATGCTGTTGCTAAGCTCTTATATGCTCCTGTTATTATGTTACGGTTGTTTCTTGAAATGATAGAAGACAGGGTTTAGATAATATAACTTGTATTGCTTCAGTTGTTAATTGAAGAATATGGCAGAGGCTGGGTTATATAGCCCATTCTAGGACGCTGTATCTATAATAAAATACAGAGCTAACAAACAGTTCGTTTGTGGCAACCCAGCATAGTAATTAAAACTATAGCCAAATCCCTCTAATCAACAACCAAGCTTCATTAGCGATAATACCCTGTCTTCCATTTCAGGTGATAGTTAATCTCTATATGAGATTTATAATTAAACATTAATATGATGAAGGTTAATCTACTACAGTATTTCCTAGTTGTCTGTTCTATAGCAATATTCAGTGTCTTTCCTAGTTGTCTGTTCTATAGCAATATTCAGTGTCTGTCCTAGTTGTCTGTTCTATAGCAATATTCAGTGTCTTTCCTAGTTGTCTGTTCTATAGCAATATTCTGTGTCTTTCCTAGTTGTCTGTTCTATAGCAATATTCTGTGTCTGTCCTAGTTGTCTGTTCTATAGCAATATTCAGTGTCTTTCCTAGTTGTCTGTTCTATAGCAATATTCTGTGTCTGTCCTAGTTGTCTGTTCTATAGCAATATTCTATATCTTTTCTAGTTATCTATTCTGTAGCAATGTTCTGTGTCTTACATTGGTCTTTAGGTCTATAGTTCCGTTCACTGTGTTTTATGGTTGTTGAATGTGTCTTTAATCCCGTTCACTGTGTTTTATGGGTGTTTGGATTTATAGCTTTGTTTGCTGTGCCTTCCCACCAAATTACTGGCTTTTATTTATCTGTGTATTTTTAATAGATTTGTATAAATAATGACCTTATAATTTCGTTAAGCATGAACGATATTATTCTACGGTCGAAATATTATGGTTCACAATAAGGGTTAATAGGGCTTGTAATGAAATGGCTTGTTATAATTAAATTATTTACATTCTTAATCCAGATTAGTCATCATTAATGTTAATATTAATCAGTGTAACACGTGTCCGTACACGATTTCTTAATTAATGCTTCACCAGCATGCACTTGGTTTGTGTTGGTGCTCCGAGCATACAAAGAATATGTTGATAATCTTCCCGCAAATGAAGAGGTACTACCATATCTACAGTGGCGAGATCTACAGATGGTGAAACATCCTCAGTTCCAGTACTGGATGCTGTAGAAGGAGATGGGGGATTTGTAGGACTGACTGAAAGCCTAACACAGCTCTTAAGATGGATGGTTGCTAGTCCTGAGCTGGCTAGAGCTTTACATGAATTTGAATCTTCAGTTGACCGAATCATGGGATCCGAAACAAAGTCTTCTTTAAAACACCATGAACAAGATAAAAGTAGGCAATCTTCATTTATCAGTGAGGTAAAGTCCCTCATTGAAACAATTGAAACAATGGGAAATCCATTCTGTGACAAAAGTGACCACCTGCTTGTACTTGATACCAGACAGATGATGCCTGATTGTGTGAAAGAAACAGTGAAATGCTTGGAAGAGACTGGCAGGAAACAATCCTAGTGACATCATGAACAGCGGACCAGCGGCTCATCTAAACTAATATCCCATTGTTTAATACTATTAAGAAAAACAATTTGGACATAAACAAAAAGGAACTATTCTCGATCAAGCAAAACTGTGCTCTTTATGCACAGCTTTATGTTTCATGCCAAGTACGTGAGTAGTGTATGAGCTTATAGATTGGTCGCATGGGGATTCCCCATTCCATTTCATTTCATGGGAAAAATGCGACCAATCTATAAGCTCCCAAAAAAGACCTAAATTCCCTTCATTTCATAAATTCTTACAGCAAAACATCCTACATCTCATAAAACATCCTACATTTCATAAAACATCCTACATTTCATAAATTCTTACATTAAAAAAGACCTAAACAGAAAAAAACACCTTCAATCAATTTCCTACATTCCATAAAAAAAAAAGCATATTAAAAATATCCTTATATAAAATAACATCTGGTTTTAAATAATGTAGAAGGGAGATGACTCTTGTNTTGGAAATTTTCTTACTCAAATTTTACTAGATTCAATCTTTAGATTATACGATCCGATTCGTTAAACAAGAAAAAAGAGGATTATATTATCATCTCACCGACTGTTGGTTCTAAATCCCAATTGAATGATGGTGGTAGAATTACCTTCGAAATAAATTCATTATCGAATTGGTTGCTTCTTTCAGATGCTTATTTCAGATGCGATTTCAAAATTAAAGATGGAACTCAGAATCAAGTTCCACAAACTAATACAACGTTAGAAAACAATTTCTTTCCATCTTTATTTAGCGAGATGGTTTTGGAAGCTGGTTCAAATCCGATAGAAACAATTAAACACCCTGGGGAATTCGACACAATGTTGAAAACAGTTTTATATCCTAAAGATTTCGATTCAGTCTCAGGTTGGATACCCGATGTTGGTGATGGAAGTGTTTTAAAAGAACCGGTAAGAAATGTTGCAAATGATGCTGATTTAGATAGAGTGAGAGTTGTTGCTCGAAACACGATAGAAAGAGTAGCACGAGCAGCTAATCATGGATTTGAAAAACGAGTACTTCAGTACAATAATATTGTTGAGAATAATAGGTGGGGTAATTACGTAAATTGGAAATTATATCCTTTATTCGGTCTGTTGGAACATAGAAAAGTTTCCATAGGGTTACCATATAAAATTCATCTACAAGGAGAAATCAACGATGATAAGATATTCTTTGGAGAGAATGGTTCAGATGCAAAATTAGAAATATCGAATCACCAACTTTTCATACCCGTAATAACACCATCAATTGAAGTAGAAACGAGAATATTCAACTCGTTACCTAAAGATATGGAAAGAGCTTTTCTTCATCGTAACACGGCAGGTAGCATGACTTTAACGGGAGAATCCACCACATGGCCAATCACTAACACTATTAAACCAGCAAGATATTTAATGATTGGTTTCAAGAACTTACCAGATTCTCAAACGAATAACAATAATGTCTTTAGAGTGGCAATGAACCAAACTCAAAATCCTTTAATCCATAAAGTTCAAGTAAGATTAAACAACGATAATTATCCTAACCAACCTTTAACAATTAATCCAACCACAAAGGATTATAATGAATTGTATAGAAACTATAAAAATATGTGTGAATTATTTGGAAATCCACCTCAGTTTGGATATGTAGATTTTGCACTTAATCATCCAATCTTCTGTTTTGATCTCTCAGCTCACCAAGATGATCTTTTCAAAACAGGAGTGAACATAAATATTCATATTGAAAAAACACAAGGAGATGTAACAGGTTATTGTTTTTTATTGGAAGAAGCAAATCATTTAATTAAAATAGCAGATAGAAGAATGATAAGAATTGAGTAAAAAATACACCCTTAAAAATGAAACCAGAAACTTTAGTCAAGAAAATAATAGAAGCTATAGAAACAGCTTCACCAACTACAATAACTTATAATGGTAAAAAAATCAACATAACTAAAAAACTTATTGATAAATATAAATATTGTAAAGTCAGAGACGATATAGACTTAAAAAGAATTGAGGCGAACGCAAAAGAAGGTGGATTTTTACCTTTCCTTCTACCTTTAATATTTGGTGGTATTGCAGCGGCGGGTGCAGCTACTGGAGGAATATCTGCCGCAGTCAAAGCTGCCAACGCAAAGAAAGCAGCTGATGATAAAGCCGCTGAAGAACGCAGACATAATTTAACAATTGAAAAGGAGGCACGAGATTCAGGAGTGGGGGATATGATAGGCACAATAAAAGAATTTGGAAAAAGATTTGGGGAAGACACCAAGAAAACTGTTAAACAAGGATTAAATAAATTAGTAGATAGTATTGACTCGGGAGAAGTCAAAGTCAAACATAAGGGTAATGGAATAAATTTCAAAAAATATACACACTTGAGAAGGAATATTTCTTTCAAAGTATAAAGGAGAAGGAGTGATTTTTGGAACAAATTAAAATAATAAAAAATCATATTCAATCGCTTTGGGGTGATGAGGTTCTATAGGAGGTTTATATTCTAATTTCCTTTTAATATCCTCTTGAGATTTTAATATGGGTTGAAATAGAGTTTGTAGATTTTCCGTTAATCCGAGTTGTTGTAATCTGTTATTTTCAAATTGGGTCTTTATTTTATTCTTAGCTTTGATATATTTTCTATTTCTTTTTAAAATATTCCAATTATCCATTTTTAAAAAAATAAAATTTAACAAATGTCTGTCATAACTCTTTCACCTGCAGGTTTTCTAGTATTTCCAAATACATATCCATGATCATCTGGGTTTTTCCATTGAGCTTTACAAACCTTTTTAAATGCATCTCTGTCCATTCCGTGATTTATCGACTGAATGATTTGAGATAAATCTTTATCGTTTAATTCAAATAATAAAAAACAATTTGCATTTTTTCTAATGAACATAGAATCCATCCCATAAAAAGATTGGGATTGGTATATGCAATGATAGTTGTGATGTCTTCCTTTCGTGAAGAATTCTTGTTGAACAGCTTGATTTCTTTGCGCTACGCAGTCGTCAAACAATATTAAGTTCTTCTCTTAACGAGATTTAGATAACTTCTAAAAACTTTCTTTTGTTTATCATCTGGAATAACTACTCCATTGGTGAAACTTTTTACCCAAGGTTTCTTAAATTCATTCGTCACATCGTGTCCACTAGCTAATCGAATATAATCTTCTACAGATATCTTATCATTAGAGTAACCCTTAAACGTTTTCTTTTCTTTTAAAACACCGTCGGAAGTTAGAATGATATTGTATTTAACTTTTGGCACTAAATATAAACCAAATATAATTCCACCATCACCGTAATCATTCTTTCCTTTACAATAATCATTTTCGGACACTAACCCAGCTTCATTTAATTTATCCCAATTGCTAGACGAAATGTATAAACTATCGGTATCCGTAAAGTATATTTCAGGCTTATAAAATCCATCTATCACGTGAATAAAATTATTCATTATTTTTTTACTGTGAGATAAAACGAATGATCCCAAATGACTAGGTGTTAGTCGTATAGATTTAGGAGGTGTACAGTCAAATTCCTTTTCTTCTTCATTTATCTTAACTATAAATTGACTATCATTTACTTTTTCATAGTTTATAACGTGTGAATCGTTGTTGGCTTTTAAAGTCGCTTCACTCCATAGATGTCTCGATGTAGTCTCGAATAGATTTACCATACAATGAATTACCTAATAATTTCATGCAATTACTACCTACGATATTACCTTCTCGTTTATATTTATTTCTTAGATCTCTCAAAATTAAAATATAATCTCTATAGGGTGGAGTTTTAAAATTTTCTTCGTAAACTATACCATCTAATATTTTAATAATTCGTCCACCGGCTTTCACTATTTCTTGAATATCGACCGATGTTAAACCGTCGTGACAGAAACCATTTCTGAACCTGATTTTAGTACCAGTTTCCTTTTTACCTATTCTATTCGTGAAAGTGATTTTATCTTTAGCTGGTAAGGGTTGGAAGAACATGTTTGTAGGATATTCAAACCAGACTTTTAAAATAGCCGTTCTAGGTCTGAATTTATGCTCAATAAAGAGCTTAACAAATTCTTTATTTTCTTCTTGTCGAAATGGTCTACCACTTTCCGCTCTCGGATATTCGCTATCTCAATCCGACATGGCGGAAGCGTACAAACCGTTAGCATCAAAGGCCATTAGTTTAGTACATTTTATTTTTTTAAGTCTCGAATGAACCTCTGTTTTATCTTTTGTGCTTGCGCTGTATTCTTTGAATAAATCTATTATATTATCAGTGTCACTTTCTAAATACTCCTTTAAAATGGCGCAAATTTCATCCATTTTATTCGTTTCAAATGATTTTCGATTTGCCGAAATTCTTACTCATTTAATACTTTGTCTGATAAAATATCTTATAAAAGGGTGAGTATGTGAGTAAACTTTTTCTACGTTTTCTTTTTCGGTGTGTTTCGGAACCATTCTAGTAGTTTCATACCATTCTTCTTCAACCATTTCTTTATCGTAATGATATAAATAATACCAACCCCTTTAAAGATAAAGAAGGAGCCGTTAGATTATTGGAAATATTCTGAAATACAACTTCTTTCATTGATTGACTGTATTTTATCAAACAAGCTCCGAGACATAACGTATCTCTTTCTTTTTTGATCTATTTTTCCTAAACATTGTAACATTTGATCGATGAAATCTGTACCGTCAAATATTTCTACTATATTAGTCAAGAGTTTGTTGTAAAATTATTCTGGAATGGGATCTGTCGGCTTTAAATCTGGAAAGAGATTATTTATTCTGTTTAACATTTTTCTTAGTTTTTCTAAATTAATTAACGTGCAAGAATAAGGTATGGCTATATTTTCGTTATAGGTTTCGCAATCCCACGCGTATAAACAATCATCGGGAATGGTTGGAAAAACGTTTAGTTTTAGAGGTGAAACTTGCGTTATCGCATTATCATCTTTACAAGTTCTCCATACGTTTTCATCGTAATTATCTTCTATTTCTTTAATGCCTAAGGTTTTTTTATTTCTTCTAATGAGACAGAAATGCGATTTATGTAAGTAAAATACCCAATCTAATTCTTCGGATACTTTCATTGGTTGAAAATGTCTATGTTTGGGTATATAAATTTGAAAATTAGTATTAAATTTCTTATTGAATTCACAGATTCAAGCAGTTGTCATAACTCCTTTTCTGTTGAT